ATAGTGGAAAACGTTATTACTTACCAGCTCAACTGGACAATTTTTCCCGGAGTCTTTTTTGCCACATAGGGTCAAAAACGCACCCTTTTTGAGCACACGTGAGTAGCAGATGAGCACATTTATTAGAATTTCTTGGTCAATCAACTTCGTTAAAGCGTTTGTGCATCATCGATCAGTCACTGCTAAGGTGTCCTACCATTTCAGCACAAGACTGGTGCAGCCCCGTCTCGACTGATTTAACTAGGGCCACCTTTTTGACGACGATTGCGGGCATCACTTCAAAGACTTCACTGTCTTTTGAGAAAACTGTGAAAAACCGATGAGCATTTTAAATGGTAGTATTCCCTCCAACAAATGCAATGCTGGTTTGGTGGGCGGGTTGTAGCTCTCAGCAAGAATTTTGAAGCATTTGGTACACACATGCGAATTTGCACACTGGACCCAGGAATTTTCAAAAAAAGTATAAAAATTGGGGGAAAGTTAAATTGTGAACCAACAATAGAAAACAATAAGCAACATATTTCGCAGTATTAATGAGCAAAAAGGACTTTCTGAGATATTGATTTCCATAGTAATCGGCAAACTTCTCAACTAAGAACAAAGGCGACATAAGATAGGCCGGTACTAATACCTTCCTAGAAACTGATTCCTGAAAACTATTGGGGTACGCTTATTGTTGGAGGTCAAAAATACAGCTGCGGTGCTGACTGAGCTTCCGCTGAACAGGAAAATCAAGATCAGCGGCTTAAAGGCAAGGTTCAGGATCAAATTCTCATGAAATCCCACTTGAATATGAATGTAGGGATGCGAACTGGACGCATGTGGGAAGAAAAGGAAAAGAGATCGTTCAAAAAAAACACCGGGAATAGAGATCTTCTTGGAAACGCTTTGACGAAGACTTAGTTATGGTTAAGAAACGCGGCAGCAGACGCCCGAGAAGACGAGAGCGACAAGAACCATGTCAAGGGAACGACACAGAGGAGGAACTGCACAAGGTGACGGCAGCCGATTCTTGTGATGTAGGTGATCGAGAATCCAAAGCGCTAAGTACTTAGCGACGGAATCAGCAGGCAGCAAAATATGACGCGACTAGCTGCAAAGACGACCTCAGCATCGGCTTTCCAACGTGAGAGGTCATACTTCGGGTGAGGGCCGAGCCCGGAAGCCTGCGCTGCGCAGGGAAATTCTGCACACTCTCAGCTTGACTTTTTCGAGCTACGTAGCGGAATGTTTACGCTTTCAGAGAAGCTCGCCCTGCTCTGGAGTTCCCTGCCGCAAGGCAATCGAGCGGTACACCGACCCACACGGCTCTGTCTCACTCCACTTACTCCGCAACCCACACCCTACTGGAACCGATAGATCTGTATGAAATAGCACTTGCCAATGAAAACGCTCAATGGAAACCATGCAAACAGACACATTTGAGCGAAGAAAAGAGATGGATAGTCGTAGAAGGGCTACACAGCGAATTGAAGATCAATGTTTCACACTGCAGCCAAGAATTTGTGCTCTAAAGAAACCCTGAGGGGGAGCTCTAAGAAAAAGCATCGCCATGCTCAAGTCCTGATCAGTGAAACAAACGTGTTTTGGGAGCGCACATTTCAAAAGCCTCCCTAGCAAAATCTTTCTTCGCTTGCTCACACACTACCGCAACTAACCTGTGTTCGGATTTTGTCGTCATCTGACGTTCCATCAAGGGTTCCTGTTTTACGCTTGAATCGCGACAAGCTCGATCCGGTGGCGTCAACGCTGTCAAGAACCTAGAAATCGACCTTAAATCTCCTGAGGAGTACACAAATCCATCGAACGTACTTCTCCAGCCTTTGTAACGAGCCTTGCATAAGAGGTTACAAGAACAGAACGAAGCAAATGATCAGCCTTGGGATGACTCCTTTTGGAAAGCTCTTTGGAGAACTCTTCAAACTTCGCATGAGCAGCGTTTACGTATGATGAGTGAGTGGAAGGTGATGGCTTTTTTGTCCATCTGTACTGCTTTGGAACATCGGATACGCAGTCGAACTCCTGTAAAATGAGAATGTGGAGTAAGAAACTCCGAATAACGCCATAACTAGCAGAGAGATACAGAGATGGAAACAAAGATGGACCTTGGACAACAAAGAAGAAACCAGCTTGACCACATGTTCATCTATCTTAGCACATTCAGCATCGACAAGGAGGTTATATCGAGTCAAACATTGGCCGAATAGCGATGTATCAACATTCAAATCACTGCAAAATAAAATAATGACGATAGTAAACAGTTAAAAGTTAAAATGCTGGAAGTTAGACTTGCCAAAAAAAACTTACGCAAGCTTTGGCCAACAGCTGCTCAAGCGCCATGTCAAACACCTTTGACGCTACTGTGGAGAGATCATGCCGAACAGACAGAAGCGCGCGCCACGCTTCAACGCCACCCAACTCAGAGGATGGCTCTGTTGCAGCTGCCCTGTAATGAAGAACCCACTCGGTGACATCAACAGTTAGTGTAGTTAGTTACGGGCAGTGTACTGAATTCCTCGACTCCTACAACCAATGCACCTAATTTCCCTTACAACCATTCGCACGCCTTATTCACGCTTTTTTCCAGGCAAGCCGCGACTCCTGTCCGCCCACGTCTGTCTACTTTGCGATCATTCGACTTTGCAGTTTTGTGAATTTTTAATGAAAGAGATATCTCTCGAACATGCAATTTGCTTCACATTGGAGCTGCAAACGAAGTGCAGGGAAGTCGCAAGGTAAGACTGTGCCCCAGAAAATGAAATGTATAACTTATGATGAGTTTAGTAATGGATAAGATAATAAAAATAAAACCTCGTGGGTTGGAAGCAAAGAGTCATTGCATGTCACTGGTCAACAACGAGACAAAGAGATATCATAAGGAATGGCAATATTGCCGAGTCAGCTTCGTTCAGTACTCCCGTAATAACTTCGT